GACCAGAAAAGCCAGGGAGACTTTTCTAGTTTAAAGGAGACCAAAAAAACAAATGTCCAAGGTCTTTGATTAGATCCTGGATGGGGGAAAGCAGTTACAAAGTACATTTTGTACTTTGGGGACAACCAGAGATAGTAAATATAATAGGTAATAGTATATATCAGTCTTAAGTGTTTGGGATATGGTAATTACAATGTTATATTAGAGAACATCCTTGTTTTAAGGGGATTGATAGAAGAATTTAGGGATGAAATGTTATGACATCTTCAACATAAAAAAGGGTGTGCATGTGTGTGTGTATAAGTAAATGGAGAGAGATAAAACAAATATCACAAAATGTTAGCAATTTATGAATGTAGGCAAAAAGATTTGTAGTTAGTTGTTCATTGTTCTCTCAACTTTTCATAGGTTTGAAATGTTCAAAATAGAAAATTGAGGAAAGGGGAATAGTAAAGGAAAGGAAGTGGAGATATTTCCTTTAAGAAGTTTAGCTATAAAGGGGAGCAGAGAAATGGAACAGTAGCTAGAGGAGAATATGGGTTCAAGGAAGGTTGTGTTTTGTTTGTTTTTTAAGATTGACAGTAATACAGGATTTATTCAACAACAGTATTAAGCTCGTAATATGTGTTACACACTGAGCATAGAAGTGTCTAAAAGTTTACTCTTAGAGATATTAACATGCTAGAGGTGACAGAAAGACAGGTAAATACATAATATGTTAGATTGTGGTAGTAACACATGCTAGCCAAGGTGTGAGTCAGGAAGCAGCAGCATCAGTATCACCTGGGAGCTAACTAGAAATGCAGAATAGCAGGTCCCACCAGACCTTCTGAATCAGGATCTCTATTTTAACAAGATCCCTATATAATTTTACATTCATTAAAATTTCAGAAGTACTACTCTAGAGAAATCAAAGTCAGATAAGGGGTATGAGGAAGGTGAAGAGGAGGTGTAATTTTGTAGCGGGTAGTCAGGGAAGAAGAGGATTTGAGCAGAGACCTGAAAGAAGCGTGGGGAGCAAAATGTGAAACATATCTGGGGAAGAGCATTCCAGACAAAGGAAACTGCAAGTGCAAATACTCTGACGTGTGGCTTCTTGGAGTGTTTTAGGGGTAAATGGATGGAAGGAGAAGAGTTGGGGTGGGGCAGTGGTAGGACTTGAGATTTGAATGGAGTTTATGGAGCAGAGAGTGGAAATCATAGGGGGCCTTTCTTATACTTCGTTGTAAGACTGGATTTTACTCTGAGCAGGACCAAAGTCAGTGTTGCCAAAACAGAAACATTAAAGTAACATACATACATACATACATTTATTTATTTATTTAAATATATTTTCTGATTGGTGTTTCAGGCTTCTTAGGGTATATTCCTACAAGTGGGATCACTGGGTCAAATGGAAGTTCAATTTTTAATTTTTTGAGGTAACACCATATTGTTTTCCATAATGGCTGCACCAGTCTGCATTCCCACCAGCAGTTTACTAGAGTCCCCTTTTCTCCACACCCTCGCCAACACTTGTTGTTTGATGATTTGTTGATGGCAGCCATTCTGACAGGTGTGAGGTGATACCTCATTGTTGTTTTAATTTGCATCTCTCTGATGATTAGCGATGTTGAACATTTCTTCATATGTCTCTTAGCCATTTGTATGTCCTGTTTGGAGAAATGTCTATTTAGTTCCTCTGCCCATTTTTTAATTGGGTTCTTTGTCTTCCTTTTGTTGAGTTGTATGAGCACTCTATATATACTGGAAATTAACTCCTTATCTGATATATCACTGGCAATGATGTTCTCCTATATAGTGGGTTGCCTTTCCATTTTGATGATTGTACCTTTTGCTGTGCAGAAACTTTTGAGTTTGATGTAGTCCCATGTGTTCATTTTCTCCTTTGTTTCTGTTGCCTTAGATGATGTATCAGTGAAAATTCTGCTGCGTTTGATGTCTGAAATTTTGTTGCCTCCATTTTCTTCTAGGATTTTTATGGATTCATGAGTCACATTTAAGTCATTTATCCATTTTGAGTTTATTCTTGTGTATGGTCTAAGTTGATGGTCTAGTTTCATTATTTTGCATGTAGCTGTCCAATTTTCCCAACACCACTTATTAAAGAGGCTGTCTTTACTCCACTGTATGCTCTTGCCACCTTTGTCAAATATTAATTGAGCTTAGGAATATACCCTAAGAAGCCTGAAACACCAATAAGAAAGAATATATGTACCCCCATGTTTGTAGCAGCACTATTTACCATAGCTAAGATCTGGAAACAGCCCAAATGTCCATCAGCAGACGAATGGATAAAAAAGCTGTGGTACATATACACAGTGGAGTACTATGCAGCTGTAAGAAAGAAAGATCTCTTATCCTTTGAGGTGACATGGAGGGACCTGGAAAGTATTATCCTAAGCGAAACAAGCCAAACAGAGAAAGACAAGTATCATATGATTTCACTTATTTGTGGAATATAATGAACATAACAGTCTGAGGAATGGGGTAGTCCCAGAGATGTGGAAGTGGGGTACAGACTGACAATCCCCAGAAAAGGGGGTGGTGGGGGAGAGATAAACCACAGAACTTATATGCATATATGCATGAACAATGAACATGGACAACAAAGCTGGGGACAGGGCGAGGGGGGAGAGGGAGGGGAGAATCAGTGGTGGAAAAAGGAGAAACATCTGTAACAAAAATTAATTAATTAATTAATTTAAAAAATAAAAATATATATGCTTTTATTGAATTTTTAGAGAGAGAGGAAGGGAGAGAGAGAGACAGAAACATCGATGTGAGAGAGAAACATCGATCAGCTGCCTCCTGCACACCCCTCACAGGGGATCAAGTCCACAACCCAGGCATGTGCCCTAACTGGAAATCAAACCAGGACCTCTTAGTCCATGGGATGATGTTCAATCCACTGAGCCACACCAGCTGGGCTAAAGTAGCTTTTTAAAAAAGGATTCTTCTGACTACTATGATAAAATGTATAGAGAGGGCAAGGATGGACACAAGTAATATAATAAAAGTAGGTGATTTGAATCTGGTTGTGCTAGAAAAGGTGAGAAGTGGTTAGTTTTGGGGTTTATTTTGCAAGAGAAGAAATGGTGTGTGGCTTTGCTTAATGGGTGTAAGTTGCAAAACAGAGGAGTAAGAATGACAGATGTTTGGGAACATGTACAAATTTATGAAAATGATATAGTGAAGAGGGGTGATGTAGTGGAGAGTGGAAACATCAGAGCAAAGACCTTAAATGGGTACAAGTGCATGGAACTCTATGTGAAAGTGGTTAGGCAGAAGCATGGACAGTTTTAAGTTTTTAAAAGAAATGATTGTTTTTAATGGACATTTCAAACATATACCTAAGCATACAAAATATTATATATTCACCAAGTTTAAATAGATGTTAACATTTTACCATATTTGCTTCAGATCACTTTTTTTAAGTGGAATATTAGAGTAATGAAAATAATACTTAAAACACTCATGTAACCACCAGCCAGCTTGAATGTAATTGAAGCTTTCTGTGTAGTCTTCTAATCTCATTCCCTTCCTACTACTTCTTGTCCTACATGTTCCAGGAAACCACTTCCCTAAATTTGATGTTTATCTTTTCTATGCATAACTTTACACTTTCACTGCACATGGAAGTATCCATAAATAATAGGGACTGTTTTGCATATTTACCCACTATGTGATCTTGGGCATGATAATTTAAGCCAAAGCTTCACAAATATGGGTGATTTTGTTCTCCTATAGGACACTTGGCAATATATAAGGCATGTTTGGTTGTCAGAACTGGAGTAAGAGGTGCTACTGGCATCCATTTGATCGAAACTACTAAACATCCTACAGTGCACAGGACAGCATCCGCCCCTTGCCCCAGCAAAGAATTATCTGGCCCAAAATGTTAATAGGGTTGAGGTTAAGAAAAATAATTTTAACCCTTCCAGCCCTTTATTTATTCACCCATGAATGGGGTTAGTAATATTACCTATTTTATTGTTCGGGGGATGGTTAGGTTAGGTGAGATAATTCATGTAAAATGCATAACATAGTGCCTGGCACAGAATTGCTCTGTTAATGTAAATAACTACTACTATCATCATCATCATCATCATCACTAGTACTAGTCTGGAATTTAGACTGAATTAAAAGAACATGCCATATACTACCTATAGCAATGCAGCCAGTGAAGTTTGTTTACCTTTTCCTTCATTTGATGAAAAATTCTGAAGAACATAGAAAAATGGAGAATGGTACAGAAGAAACCCTTCTTGCTTATAGAGTCAAAGAAGACAATGAATTTAATAATTAATGTGCTTTATTCTAAGTTCTAAGCATGTGATGTACAGTCCTATTTATGTAAACAGCATTCTTCATGTTGATGTTCTTTTTTTTCTCTTGTCTTTCTTCCTTTTGCTCCATATTGCAAAGTCATGCCTCCTTCCTCCCCACATTTTTTGGAGTTTCAACTCTCTCAATATCTTCTGGCTATCAAGAACTTGGCAGCCATTAAAGCAACAGAAAGCATTGGCCAGTATCAAGCATTGGTATATTTGAAAATCACTCATGCGCCCTGGCCAGTTTGGCTTAGCGGTTAGAGCATTGGCCCGTGGTCCAGAGAGACCCGGGTTCGGTTCCTGCAAAGGGCACGTACCTCGGTTGCAGTTTGTCCCCGGCCCTGGTTGGGTTGTGCAGGTGGCAGCCACTCAATGTGTCCCTTTCACGTCGATGTTTGTCTCTCTCCTTCTCCCTCCCACTCTATCTGAACAAAAAATGGAAAAATGTCCTCGGATGAGGGTAAAAAAAAAGAAGAAAATTACTCATGCCATCACTACAGATTATTCGTATAGTGACTAAATGAGCTGCTGAAACATTTGCTAATTTTTCAAATCTACAATTTTCATTTAGCAATCATGCTAAGAAATACTGTAAATCTTTAAACTCAGTAACCATAAATTCCTTCATATTGCAGTGATATTAAGAGTCATCTTCTATTTTTCAAGGCAAACGCAATAGGCCGAAGTGCTAAAACTGTCCGAGAATTTCTGGAAAAGAATTACACAGAAGATGCTATAGCAAATGACAATGAAGCTATCAAATTAGCGATAAGAGCTTTGCTAGAAGTAAGTGATCTATTAAAGCATATTCAGAAAAGCACGGGGTTATTTTCCTCATTCAGTTGCTTATTAAAACACAGAATTTTCTGAAGTAATTCTAATATTACACTTGTTCTACAATAGGTTGTCCAGTCTGGTGGAAAAAACATTGAACTTGCTATAATAAGAAGAAACCAACCTTTGAAAGTAAGTCTTGAACCAAACAGGAAGAAATTATCTGTAGTATATTTTGACAAAAGTTAAAATGTGGACACCTGTGAATCTTCATTATAAGCTTTTTGAACATCCCTTAGCATCCACCGACACTATGACAACTTCAGCTTTATTTCTGTAGGCTGATACTCACTAATTTGCATGTGCTTATTGCAAGCAGTTACCTATCCCTAGCCCTTTGTGAAGACCTAGAAGTGCTGAGATCTATGTACAGAGCTATCCCATTTAGTATATGTTCTTATCCTACTGAGTCAGTCCTTTATGGGGTTAAGTATAACATATTCCTTATGGAGATTCATTCCTGGCACCACATAGAGAGCAGTTGCTCTTTCTGTATTTTTAGTTTAATTTTTGTTAATCCTCACCTGAAGATATTTTTTCCATTTTTTTTTTTTTAGAGAGAGAGTGGAAGGGAGGGAGGTAATAGGGGGGGAGAGAGAGGGAAATATCAATGTGAGAGAGACACATTGATTGGTTGCCTCCCACATGCGCCCTGACCAGGACCAGGGATGAAATCTGCAACCCAGGTACGTGCCCTTGACCAGGAATCAAAGCTACGACCCTTGGTGCAACTGAGCAACACCAGCCTGGGCACTCTTCCTGTGTTTTTAGATCTCCTGAAACCAAGATATTTTTCCAGCTAGTGTCATTCAACTGCCATTTATATAATTGTTGGCCCTCCAGGCTTCTAACATAATGTTTTCCTTCATTCATTATGTCAAAAACCTCCACCCAGCCCAGCTGGTATGGCTCAGTGGTTGAGCATTGACCCATACACCAAGAGGTCGCCGGTTTAATTCCCAGTCAGGGCACATGCCCATGTTGTGGGCCCAATCCCCAGTAGGGGGCATGCAGGAGGCAGCTGATCAGTGTGCTCTCTCATCAGTATTTCTCTCTCTCTCTCCTTCTCCCTTCCTGTCTCTCTAAAAATCAATAAAGAAAAAAAAAATTTTTTTAAACCTCCACCCATTCTTGGTTGCCTACTGGTTTTTATCTAATTTCTCCACTACTCATTTTAAAGTGTCTTGATCCACTATAAGACTTAAATTTTAACACCCGGTGTAATAACCTTTCCATATTTCTTTGTGCAAGTCTAACACTATTATTTTTATACCTTTGTCAGCCTTTATGGGTTAAAACTACTGGACCACAAAATAAATTCATTGGCTAAAGAGCATTTGAAACATGGTTCACTATTGTTCATTAGGTAGAAAAATAGGTTTGTCAATTAGCTCTCTTTAGCTGAGAGTATACAAAAACACTCAAAGCATGAGAAACTATATGAAAAGTGTGCCAGCCCTGGCCAGTTTGGCTCAGCGGTTAGAGCGTCGGCCTGCGGTCCAGAGAGACCCGGGTTTGGTTCCCGCTAAGGGCATGTACCTCGGTTGCAGTTTGTCCCTGGCCCTGGTTGGTCGTGCGGGTGGCAGCCACTCGATGTGTCCCTTTCACATCGATGTTTCTCTCTCTCTCTCTCTCTCCCTCCTGGTCTATCTGAACAAAGAATGAAAGAGTGTCCTTGGGTGAGGATAAAAAAAAAAAAAAAGTGTGCCAAAAAATCATTTTACATATACCATTTATTTTAGGGAAAATATTTCAAGGGGAAGGAGTATTAAAATCAGTGCTGTGTGGAGCAGTGGGGCTTTTGTTTTTCTTTTGGAGGGGAGTGCTTGTTATTGATATAATTGTTGTTATGACACCATATCCCATGTTTTATTAGTTAACCAACAGATGGGGATATGAGGATAGGGCAGCAGTAGAGTTTCAATTAGAGAAATAGGGATAGAGTGATGGGGTTTTCCCTTATAGGGCCCCACGTAAATAATCAGGATGCTGAACACAGAGTGTGGAGATTGAAACTAGGCTGGATTGTCATCACTGCTACCAAGGGCCTAGGGACCTGTGCCAACAGTGCAGGGACACGGAACCACTGAGACCAGAGTCACCTCTCCAGCCCCATCACATACATATATACACACCTAGATACACACACACACACACACACAGAGTTATATATATGTTTTCACTTATGAATGTTAGGATGGTATGTATCCTGGCAGCAAAGATATAATATTCTTCCACGTGGCATTTCAGGATAGGCTGTGTGGCAAATAGAACACATGCTTTGGAATTGGGTAGATCTGGATTTAAGTTCTAGCAGATAAGTTTAACAGTACAACCTTGAGCAGTTTGCTCCTATCTTTGATTTTAAATAAAATAAAAATGATTTAAGTAAAAGAAAATTTTATTTTGCTTTGAATTTAGTGAGGGAGTTGTAAATAAAGCATTATAAATCATCGTTTTCCTATCTACGAGTTGATAAAGTAGTCAAACCCTATCAGAGAATCACACAGTGGGGTGCAGGTAGGGGGAGTTCAGTAATGAGTTATTTGCTTATGAATAGAATAAGTCTTGCATTAAAATGGTTTTAGAGTTATATTTTCATATTAGATATGTAATGCAGTATCACATTTTACCCTGCTTTCCTTTTTAGCACTATAGTGGAAATGTCATAGAGGTCTGGTTTTTGTTTATAATAGTTACAAGTATGTTGCTGTTGAACCTTTTGAAACATTTCATTTGAATTTGAAGTTATAAAGTTATAAATATAAAATAGAAATTTATAAGGTATAATAGGTTTCTTTTATATTGTAAATATTTAGAAATTATTGGTATAATTGCATGTTGTTTTAAAATTGTTTTTCTTTTCAGATGTTTAGTGCCAAAGAAATTGAATTACAAGTCACTGCAATAGAAAAGGAAAAGGAAGAAGCAGAGAAGAAAAAATCAAAGAAGTCTACCTAATTCTCCCAATGTTCTCCCTGAGAACATTGGGAGCTGTTAATGTTTTGTTGTACTCCTTGGAATTACGTAGTGAAGTTTTAAAGGAAATAAGTTGATTTATGGCATTATATTAGTAGTTATTTGCTGTTTTGAGAATGGCAGATTTGTGGCTCTCTTGAGTCTGTTACATGGACAGACATTCATTAATATGAAGATTTTCTTTGAAAAGATTTTAGTAATTGTTGAAAGCAATCATAATTCACATAAGCCTGCAACTATACTTTATAACTTGCCCAGTGTGTTATATTTCTTCATATATGCAAATTTAATTAAGAAAAAATTTTAATTAAAAAAATTGAATAGTTTGGTGATGTTTGAGTATTGACTTCTAGGTAGAGAGATGCCTATTCAAAAATAAACTGAATATAATATTGAGTTATATTTCTAAATGAGTGATAAAAACACCCTTGTGTTGGCACACTGTCAAAATTTTGTCAGTCTTCTTCCTACAACCAAGATTACTCTATCCTGCAAAACTGTCATTTAGAGTCGATGGCCATATAAAAACTTTCCCAGACAAGAAAAAGTTAAAGGAGTTCATCACCACCAAACCGTTATTATATGAAATGATGAAGGGTCCTTTTGAAGAAAAAGATAAAATATATGAACAAACAAAATGGCAATGAATACATATCTATCGACAATGGAATCTATAAACAAAATGAACAGGTAGAACAGAAACATTCTCATAGATGCAGAGAACATTTTGTTGGTTGCCAGTTGGGAGGGGGATTGGGGGAATGGGTGAAAAAGGTGAAGAGATTAAGAAGTACAAATTCATTGCTAGACTGACAAACCTCAAAGGGAAAGGGGTTGAGGGGGGTGGGAAGAAATAAACCAAAGAACTTATATGCATAACCAATGGACACAGACAATAGTGTGGGAAAAGGCGGGAGGGGGCAGGAGTGGGGAGGAGGGGGTCAATGGGGGAAAAATGTGGAACATCTGTAATACATTTTACATTCAACAATAAAGATTAAAAAAGAAAGGAAAGAGGAAAAAAAAAAGAAATATAAAAATGATCCCTCCCCACAGAGGGAGTTTAATCCAAATGTGATTAATGCCTGTAATAAAGTTATGTTTTTTAAAGCAAAGGATATAAATAGGTATAAAAACAAAAGCCCATCTACCTTATTATTTCAGAGTTTTGTCACTTTTTTTTTTAATCCTCATCCATGGATATGTTTCCATTTATCTTCAGATAGAGTAGGAGGGAGAAAGAGAGAGAGAGAGAGAGAGAGAGAGAGAGAAACAACAATGTGAAAGAGACATATTGACTGGTTGCCTCTCACACAATCCGACCAGGGCTGAGGACTGAACCATCACCAAGGTATGTGCCCTTGCCCGGAATCAAACCCAAGACTGTTTAGTCCGTGGGTCGATGCTCTAACTGCTAAGCCAAACTGGCCAGGGCTTTTCTTTCTTTTCTTTTAATGCTCTTTTTTTGAAAACAGGGAGGAATTTTTGCAAAGGAATGAAAAGCTCAAAGGAGATGGTAAGAAAAGTATCGGTTTGGAAAAGCAGCAGCCATAATAAGATCTAAGCCATGGGTGGTTGTAGTGCTCTGAAGCAAGGACAAATGAAAGAGCAGAGTCAGAATTTTACAAGATATAAAGACTTTATTGGCCACCTCATTGGTTTTCATCCTGGGCCAAATTCCTGTGGCCTCCTGGTGCTTCATTTCACTTCCTCCGCCATAAAGACTGCAGGGCTTTTTCTAGGACAGAAGGTGCAATTTGTATTCCACTCTGACTTATGCCCTGACTGCCTTTCTAGTTTCACTGGAACTGTGGAATTTTATGTCTCTCTCTCTACCCCTCCTCTTTAAAACTTAGAATTAAAGCCAAATATTTGTTTCCTATCACCTCCGGCACCGCTTAGCTATCCAGAAGCAAAGGTGCTTCCCAAGTGGAAGGCTTACTAAACAAAATTTTAGCACTTTGGGGGAAACCCCATCCCGCCCACCACAACTTTTGATAATTGAGACTAGCTCCCACTGAAGACATCTCAACAGGTATGCACATACAACTCACCGGAGGGGCAGGATGTTCTCATTATCCGACTGTACTGCAGTGAACCCACAGTGAATCCTTGGTACTCTGGAAACATGGCTTAGCATCTTCCATATACCTCTTTCTTGGCACTCATCGTACTATAGTAAGTGCTGTAGGTGATTGACACTGTGTTAATTGCTCGAGATACTGTAAAGTAGACTCGGTTATTGTCCTCATTACTGTGTTGTGTGAGAAGGCACATATTAAGTCCAAATAATTTTAATTATAATCGGGATTAATGCTGTGAAGCTCTGTGTCTGTCTTCCCTACTAAACTTGCTCTTCAGGAAGCAGGTCTGGGACCCATATCTTTTTCATCATTGTTTCCACAGCTTGTCTATTGTTAAGGCTTTAATACATACTTGTTAAGCTGAGTTAACTTGCAGTATTTTGCGAATATCAAATATTGAGAGGAAGAGGGAGATAAATCATCTGCAGATGGTCTCCTTTTTACTCATTACGGTTCAACCTATGATTTCAGACTTTATGATGCTGTGGTAATGATATGCATTCAATAGAAACCAAAGTTAGAATTCTGAATTTTATCTTTCCCAGGCAAATGATATGCATTTGGTACAACACTCCTTTGTAATGCTGGGTAGCGGCAGTGAGCTCTGTATCAGTCAAGCAGTCCAAGAGTAAACAACTAATACTCTGCATCGTATTCATGGTGTTAGGTGATTTTGCCCAACTGTAGGCTAATTTAGGTGTTCTGAGCATGTTTTAGTAGCTAGGCTAAGCTACGATGTTAAGTAGGTTAAGTGTATTAAAAATGCATTTTGACTTAACAGTGGTTTCAATTTATGATGGCTTTATCAGGAAAAGACCCCATTTAAATCAAGCATCTGTAGTTTAATCTCTCATTTGGTATAGAATCAGCTTCCTAATCTCTTTGGCCCTTGCTGAACATTATAGACACCATAGTCAATGAACATATACTATATGGCTGAGCCCCTAAAACTGGATTCAGACCCTGGTTAATAAAAATGAGGGTCTTCCAGGAAAAGAAGAATTTATTGTCACTACATAGCATGACCCTGGAAAACCTGAAGGTACAGTAATTTGAAGTATCATTGCCCTGCTATTCATCCCTGATTGAGCATTTTTTTCAGGTACCAGAAATGAATAAGATACTTGTCTTAAAAAGAGGTCATACTGCCCTGGTCAAGTGGCATGGTTGAAGCATTATTCCACACACTAAAAAGTTGTGGGTTCAATTCTCAGTCAGGGACATACCTAGGTTGCGGGTCCGATCTCTGGTGGGGGCATATTTGTGAAGCAACCAATCGATGTTTCTCTATTTTTCTCTCTTCTTTTTGCTCTAAAAATGAATGAAAACATATCTTTGGGTGAGGATTTTTTTTAAAAAAAAGGTCATACTACCAAATACTTGAACCCATTCTTCCAAGATATACATGAATAATAAAAAGTATATTTCCCTCACATATATTAATTTCCATGAAGCATGTGGTTATTTAAATCTCCAGTAAATGTAGCACATACACCAGATCTTGTAGAAAGGAAATGAGACCTATTTTGTGTATTAGTAAACAAAAGAAGTGGGTGATACTTCCCTATCTCAATTTCCACCTCTGCTCTGAAGATAGGATATTCTATACCTCTGTATGGATTTAGCTATAAATAGATACAATGTTAATGACTCACTTCTGCACCATAGCTCAGCTGTGTGGATCCCACGTTTCTTATCTAGGGGGAATAGGAACACATCATCCAAATGATATGGTTATAATTCCACACATTTTATTTAACAAGTACTCATATAGTACTATATGCCAGACACTGTTTTGAGAGTTTTTAAATTTTTTATTGAATTTATTGGGGTGACATTGGTTAATAAAATTATATAGATTTCAGGTGTATAGTTCTATAATACAGCATCTGTATTGTGTGTTCACCATCCAAAGTCAAGTCTCTTTCCATCACCATTTCCCCTTTTACCCTCTTCTACCTCCCCTACCCCCTTTCTCTCTGGTAATCACCATACTGTTGTCTGTGTGTACAAGGTGTCTTTTGTTTTTTTGTGTGTTTTTTTGCTTAATCCTTTCCCCTTTTTCACCCGGCTCCCCAACCTTCCTTCCATCTGACAGCTGTCAGTCTGTTTTCTATACCTATGAATCTGTTTCTGTTTTGTTTGTTTGTTTTGTTCATTAGACTCCACATATAAGTGAAATCATATGGTTTTTGTTTTTCTCTGACTGGCTTATTTCACTTAGCATAATAACCATGTCCATCCATGCTGTCGCAAAAGGTAAGATTTCCTTCTTTTTCAGTCAAGTAGTATTTCATGGTGTAAATGTACCGCAGCTTGAGTTCTTTATTTTTTTTAAATTTTTTATTTTTATTAATCCTCACTCAAGGATATTTTTGTTCAGATAGAGTGGAAGGGAGGGAGGGAGAGGGAGAGAGAGAGAAACATTGATGCAAGAGAGACACACCAACTGGTTGCCTCCCATGTGACCTCAACCAGGGCCAAGGACCAACTGCAACCAAGGTACATGCCCTTGACCAGAATTGAACCCACAACTCATTGGTCTGCAGGCTGATGCTCTAACCACTGAGAAAAACCAGCCAGGGCTGTTTTTAGTTCTACACAAAAATTAACTCATTTAATTCTCTTAGTTCTCATTAGATATGTTATCTAGTTTATGCCCGTGATGCTGATGCTTGGGCACATTTTTCCAAAATTTCTCCCTCCTCATGGCTGTTTCATGAGAGACAAGAGCTTTTATGTCACACTGGCTTTATTCCTCCTGTAACAAGTATGAGGGTCTGATTACTCATTGCTTTGTTTTCTTTTGGAAATCTCAGTATTATTTTGGCCAACTTGCAATGATCTACACAAATCAATTTAATTTAATGTGAGGTTTTAACCAAACACACTTAAACATTATTGCTATTTAAATTTTCATTTTTACTTCTTTTACTGAGAGAAAATTCCCCAACTTTATGCTTTTTCTCATTCATATCCTCAAGGTGAGATAATCAGAAACATTTGGTTTTGGGAATCAGCTAAACAACTTCTCTTTCTATCACTAGGATATGGTTCACTAGATAGTCTGGAAAAAAAAACTGCCGACATAGAAATGCTAGATAAAATCTAACAAATATCCTTTAAATGCCTGTCAGAACT